ATATCAAATACATGCAAAATGAACAGGGAATCAACAAAAAAAAAAAAAGTTTTAGTTTGAAATGCATAGTCCTGCCATGTTATCTTGCATTGTTGTTTCTCTTTCCACTGACTTTTGCCACATTTCAGTGCTGTCTTGTGCTGATGGTTTCTGTCTTTCAAATCCTTTAAAAACTTTGACCTACTTCAGCCCTAACCACGTCAGCTGTGTGTGTATCCGAGTGGATCCACCTGGCCTCTTTTACTGATGGTTTTTCAGCTTTTCTTTGTAATCTTCTGGCACCATCTTCTGGTGATTTTAAAATCATTTCATTTTCAGCTCTTTCAAATTTTTCCTGGCTTTTCTTTGGCCTCTTGTGGTTACTCCCTTCAGCATTAGGCATTCTCACAGCTGTTCCGCAGGAACGGGCAATTCCGTTTGTTGTATTTAAGGTCCTCTTTGGGACAACTGGAACAGTATATATGGTCAATTTGGATACTAAGAGCCATGGGAGGAGATTCATGTTGCTGTAAAAGTGGTTTAAAATGTGAGGCTATTAATTAACCTGGCTTGAAAAGCCCATATGGAGACCTTGGGCATGCATTGAATTTAATGATCAATTCAAATTTTGATCCACTTGATAATCTATGACTTCTTAATTTATGAAAATCCGTGAAAGTGAAGGATTTTGCAAAAATATGAAATGGAAAAACACTATTGGCTAATACGCAGATGTAAAACTGAGTAGGTATTTATGTCACATGACTGACAGCACAGGACTAATAAACACTAATAAACACTACCTTGGAACTGAGGAAATATCCCTAACAGCATTCCTGCATATTGTGGCTCTCAGTATCAGTTTTGCAAGATTACACTTCCTTCAAGCTTTCTTTTCTTTTTAGAGTTGATCTTTCAAAAACAGATTCATGAAAGCAAGTAACATCTACGTGAAAGTGTCCATCAAGTAACTTTCAAAGATTTTAAACTGTCTTAAAAGCACAATGCACAAGTTTTGAAATATCTTATATATATCCAATAAGATTGGTTGGATTGGTTGAGCGTGTAGGAAAGTGTTTCTAACACACACGTAGTTGTGCAGTGTTGCCACTAGATGTCACCAGTGACTCTTTCAAGTGCAATGACTTAAATAATAACTTTTCCAAATGGGTAAGCTTTCAGTCTAATATGAAAAATATATAAGATATTTTACATGGCTATCCCAGTTCCTTTGTTTGGAGCGGGCCTCATGTCTTAAAATGTTAAATAGCTTTCAGCAAACTAAAGCTGCTGTTTAGTTACCATTAAAGTGTGATGACTGAAGCCTTGCTGAGACTTTAACTTTAACTTTGATTGTTCTGTGAAATATCCAAATTCAGACTGTTAATGACATCTGCATGTCTGCATAATTGTTTTTCTCAAGTATTACTTGGAATTTTTTATCTCAACTTGTGATATTTGCTCATTTGGTGCAGGTTTTGATTTTCAGTTTTGTCCCGAGTGGTCAGCATGTATGAACCATCCTGTCTATTCCCTGTGGAAGCAGGCCTCAAAAACTGTCAGTTTCCGCGCTGCTTTCTTATTCTGATTTACAACATACAGCACATG